TCTTACGGCACACCACACTCCCTTGGCAAGTTCGCGAGTAATTGTGGACGGAGTTAACTCAACAGCTTCCTGCAGGACCTCATCAATATCCATTAAGGGTTGCCTGGAGCCTTTCTTCCTTTCCAACGCCATATCTTCACGGCTATTTTTTTCAAACCAACACCACGGAGTGCTCTGGTCAAGGACACCTTTCTCTTCATATTTAATAATTTCATAAGTTAATAACTTGCTTCAGCGGCTGTGATTTTTTTATCCCAATAATGTCATAAAATTACGAGAATTTAGTAGGGCACTATCGTGTTTCTTCTTCGAAACAAATAACTAAACTGAGTTTTTTTTCGAAGAAGTCGTATGGCATTGAACAAGCTTAGAAAATGCTCCAAAGGGATTGCTAATTATTGAATAGAATTAAAATATTTACAGTCCTTTGAAATTTGAATTTGATAAAAAGGTCCTTTTTTTTTTTAAATACCCTTTTAGTTTTGTGAATGAGCACGCCAACCAACTTCTCTTCAATTTTCACTGCAGTAGACCATCGATCCACTACATGAGAGTAGATTGTGACTGAATTAATTATCTTTTTTACATTTCTTTTAGTAAAATTTTACATTACAGTTAAAAAACAATGAAATGTTTATGTGATTATTTTACAAATATGCCAAATTTTCCAATATCAGTAAAATTTTCCTCTAGAGTTTTATAATTATATTGTGGATATCGAAGTGCAATGCTACATTCTCTTAGGGACACTGAAGCCTTCATATGCGATAACCCATTTAGGAAAAAATAGTGGAATGAAAAAAAAAATGAAGCACTGAAAGGGGAAAAAAACCAACCACTCAGTAGTGCAGTTCACAACGCATTCAAATCGGTCAAGTTTCTGAGCGCTAAAAGCCTCGTATAGAAATATTTCATGCCTGAGGACTTACCGAGAGCTAAAATAAAAATTAAACTAATTTTTTATTTTACACGAAATGAAATTTTGTTTAATATGACCGACATGGATGAGACTGTATTCACACAAAAGTTTATAAATACTGAAATTGTTATACATACCTTAGTAACTGAGTACTTCCATGAGGAGCCCGTCACCCTGATATGAATGACGTAGCAAATGATCTGTTGACTTGAAAAACTTTTTCCCTGTATTCATCAGAATCTTCTACTCAATATTGAATATCAGGACGAGGCATTGGTTTATGGCTTACATTGACATTGGAACGTAATGGTGGTATCGGCCTGCACCAGGGACAAGCGGCGGAGCAGTACCACAACCGATTGGCCACACCACGTTTGCATGGTCCGTCGCTTTTCTTCAGCGCGGACGTCCCCTTCGTCTCTCTAAAGAAAGGGAAAAAAGAACATCATGCACTCGAGTAGTGACCGCGAAGACGGCCAGCTTGTCGAATGGTTGGCAGGGGAATCTAGGGACTGTTAGAACCTAGCTTTAGATGAAATCGCAAATAATTTATCGGATTCTGTAAATAAATTTGCTCTTTGATAATAATTTGAAAACTTCTTCGATTCAGTCAATCTTTTCAAATGGTTGCGCATCGACTAACAATAGTGTTACCCAAACGGCTTTTAGCCCAGGAGCCAGGGTCCTAAAGTCGACCTCATCGCAGGCGAAGGTTTGATTGTAAATTTAGAAAATATGTGTTATTCTGAATAATAAGAACCTTGTCTGTCGTTCCAGAGCCGCTGTTTTATAAAATGGTGGCTGGTTTAAAGAATATTACAGAAATTTGAGGATAGAAACGAAATATCTATTGTGAAAAATGTGGGGAAAAAATTTATTTTCTTAACTTGTATATATGGGTTTAACGTAAAAAACAAAATTTCTAACGCGGGCCACCAAGGGAAAACTTTTTACAACTACAAAAGTCAGATTTTTTTGATATTTTTTTGTATGTACTCTTTAATAAATTAAAGAAGTAAAATTATGCGTTAAACGAGTACATAAACAATATATTTTGATTACGTGGTAAGGTAGAAAACCACGGTCTGCTAATTTTTACCAAATTTTTCAAAAACTTTCAAATTTCCATAAATAGCCCTGCAGCTTGGAAATGAGTCCCAGGGAGGAAAACTCCATAGAGTAAAGGTCACAGAGCTTTAAATTTTGCTTCCAGTAGTACCAATTAATTTAATATAGGTCACTTACTCCGAAAAAAATAGGTAATCCTCCGATGGTTAGAAATTGGTAATGAAGGTAAACGTGATTTTCAATATTTCAACAGCATGAGGCTCTATTATAATGAGTTATTTTTGTTTTACGTGCACTATAATCCTCTTTTCCATCGCTCAGCAGTGAAGGATTTTGATATACGATGTGTCGGAAGATACCGAAATCCATAAAAAAATAACGAATCCAGATTCGAGATATACAATTGGCCGACCATACAAATGCCAATACTAAGTGGACACAAAATTTAATGCTCTACAACTTTGACTCTATGGGATTTTCCTCTTAAGGAATTCATTTCCAAGTTACAGGACAAATTTGGTAAAAATAAGCGTTCGTTGACAGTGATTTTATAACTTACCCCATAACTAAATTATAAAGTGTATGCACTCGTTCGACGCACAATTTAACGATCTTTAATTTATTAAAGAGTACGTATTTCGCTTTGATGCATTTAGGAGTTATAGGTAAAAAAACAAAAAAAATATTGAAAATATATATATATATATATATATATATATATATATATATATATATATATATATATATATATATATAGAAAGAACCCCATGATCATAAAATTTACTTATTTTCGATTCATTTTTAATTTTCACATTTATTTTATTTTATACATTTATTTTATTTTATTGTATTTATTTTTATTTTATTTTATTGTATTTATTATTATTAAGTTTCTGTATTTTTTTATTTTTTTTTATTGTAAATAGAGTGTGAGTGTGCTTTCTCTGATCACTATTATAAATGTCCTTGATGTGACAGAATGTAATATTTCTAAATAAACAAATATAAAAAAAAAATTTTCGTCAAATAGAGAATTTTCAATACTTAAAAAAAATGAATAGGCTTTATATATTTTTTTTTTGTTGATTAATCACACTATACTATATGGATTTCTTACGTAGTTTTTGAAGGTGTGACAAAAAATAAATCTTTCTCCTGGGTTAAATATATTTTTTTTACTCATCTTTTTTGCACAAGTATTACACATTTTGGGGCTCTGGCCTAGGAACGGCAATTGGAAATAGGTAATATTAACACAAAGTTTAAAATTATAAATTATATAAAAAGTTTAAGATAAATTATTAGTGAATATATGTATAGTAATAATTATATTGTAGAATATTCCTGAAATGGTGCCAAAACCATGAATATAAGTAAAGAGATGAGTAATAAAACATATACACATGGAGGAAGATTAATTTTTTTTAATTTTCAAGAACATATTTGATTTATATTTTATTATTCAAATGGATCCATCGAATTAGTAGTCTAAGTTATTTTAATTTAATTATAATTCTGTGATGGGAAACAAATATTTAATTTGCAATGAAATCAAAAATTACAAATTTTGTGGGCCCTTTCTATATTTTTACGGTTAACGTATTCTTAAAAACTAACAGAATACAATTAAAATTAAATTTAACTTTTTACTCATAAAAATCAAGTAAAAGAAAAAAAAGATATTTTTTGAATATAATTTAACACTTCTGGAACCAAAATTCCAACCTAAAAAGTATTGTATAAAAATGGCAGGTTATGACGTAACCGTGCCTCCACACCCCTGACGTAGCTCAGTACTCACCACGTTTCTTTAACGCTGTTTAAGTTTCACTTATAATTAAAAACTATCCAAGTATTTGATAAATTTTATATATGAATACACCTTGACGAAAGTACCTTAAATTGTGCTTTTATTTTATTCGTAGGTTGATTTATTTTATTCGTAGGTTTATTTAATTTCTTTGGAGTATAATCATGATATATTGAGGGTACCTATTAGACAAAAAAAAAAAAAAAAATTAAATATAAAACAATAGGAGGCATATAAAATATATATGGAAGTAGAGTAAAAATAATATGGTAAAGTGATATTACCATTTGTCTTATTGGACGAGATAATAGAGAAGGACGCACTGTGGTCACGTATCTGTGACCCTGAGGAGTCGGTCACGGTCCCAGCTACTGTCACAGGTTCTGAGGAAGTTGCGTAACTCCAGGTAGACCCTCCAATGGAGTTACGTCACTGCTATTACAGAGCGGTCATCATTTCGGTATCAGTTGTTCTGGTCAAAATATACTGCGACAGCCTTTACTCCTGTCACTCATTTATTCTGTTCAAATATCGATTCCGCGTAACCGACTATCTTAATGAATTCCGTTTCTGATTTGATCGTGGATCAATTCCTATACAGGCATTTGTTAATTGTTAAAGACGTTCCAATGCCAAACCTGGTCTCTATATTTTGGTTTTCAGTATTTTAGCAGCTGGAAAGTTCCATAAAAGTTTCAACCCCTGCAGCGATCTCCTGGAGTCCTGCTTTGCTTTGCACATGTCGAGAACAAAGCTTGGTTCAGAGTTTCTACGACGAATGTATATATTGTACATTGTTTAAGAAGACTTATTCATTTTAACTATTTTATTTGTTAAATGCACATTTTTATTTTGCTTTTATCTTATTATTATTATTTATTATCATTATCTATTATTTATCTTCCAATTCTATAATATCACACTTTAGCTATTATATCCTTATTTATTTATTTTTAATTATATATGTTGATTTCACTCTAGTATGCATGTACTGTTTGAATGAAGATTGTTGTATTATTATTCAACTAACATTTATCAAAAAAAAAAAAAAAAATACAGACAAAATTAATTTTTTTAATAATTTATATTTCATTCAACTTTAAAATTCAGATATCGGTTAATTATTCAGAGACTAACAGATTCAGTAAATCTCCACCACCTTAAATCATCTAATTCATGAAGTCGTAACACTATAAGTATGCCCAGTTCAGAAGGATTATCCGAGATGGCTTTAACAGGCAATAAATCATCTGGAAACCATGACACTACACTGGAGCAATTACTGTCTTCAAACGGGTTACGGCTGGGGAATCGGCTAACTCCTCAATTAATACCCCCCTAAGCTACTGCAGCTGGGGGGGCTAACCCGCTCGGCAGGCACGTCTTCAAAGGCACCGGGAGGCGAGGCATGACTAACGATCTGCCGGGTCTTCGCTAACAATCTTCCTTCCTCCAGATAGTAATTGGAGTCCTTTGAGGTCGTGCTAGCTCCTACATCCCTTCCGCCAGCTACAAGAACAGATATATCCACAGTATCCCCATAAACTTTAGTAAAATCCTCAACTAAAAAAGGGAAACTTTCAATACTTTGAAACCTAAAGGAATAATGAATTTACTAAAAAAAACAAAAAAAAAAAAAAAAATGCAACACCTAGATGCCATAATTGCAATAGTATCCTGACAATAGCCTGTATTTTCCAACATTGCACAGTTTACACCCGTAAAATGAACGATATGTCAACAATATATGGTAAAATTACTGACGACGCTAGCTGGCATAAGTTCTCGCTTCCACAGATAACTCAATGTGCCAATTAGACAAAGTTCGGCATTGAGATTTTGTAAATATGTATATATGTTTCTATTTTCTATCTTTTTTTTTCAAATATTTGTAATTAGTTTATTGTATAGTCTAAGTTAATGTTTAGTTCTATAGTAATTTTATATTCTTTTGTTTTATAATTAAAGTTGATTGTATTTTCATGGTTTTCTTATAAATCTAATTAATTATTAATAATTTCCATTTGCTTTAACTGTTATTTAAATCAATAGAAATAAGTAAATTCACCATTAGTATTAATAATAGCCAGTTTTATTTTCTTCTTTTTCTTCAGTTTGTTTTCACGTTTTGTGTATAAATTATATTCTTTTTTTTTTTTAAGGTTTAATAAGGAATCATAAAAACCTATTCGAGGGATTAGGGAAAATGAATATTGACCGAGTAAGAAGGTTCGATAGGTTTTTGATGTTAATTAACATGTTTTTAAACCCATAGGTTCCGAGTTCGTAGCTCACTCCGCGTCCTAATATTTTTTTTTAAATTAAATTTTTTTATTTTTGTGGTTTTCCGTATTCTCCAAATTCAACAAATTAAATAGCATTGCACTCGTTAGACATTTATTAATATTTAATTGACGCTTCATTAATATTCTTTTTTTTTTTTTTTTTTTTTTTTGAGAACCCTACCGTCTCCAGTGAGCATACGGGAAGTTTGTTGCGGAAACAATTTTTCCACATTAAAGACCGTAACATATTTCTTAATAGCATACATTTACCAAAAGTGATATAATAATAACTGTCTTTATTTTATTCTATATCTATATTTTATTCTTTTATATATACATGATTTTATTAACCTTTTATCTTATCTTTTATATTATTTACTTTTGTTTAATTACTTTTACACCATTTATTTATTTCGTTTCCTTTCTGTATTTATATATTTTACTGATTTATATTTTAGTTTTTTTTTTTATTTATTTCATTTTACTTTTTTTTTTCATTTACAGGATTATATATTTATAAATTTTTTTATATTTATTTAATTTCATTTATTTATTTTTTTATCCTAGCAACTTCATACTTTAACATCAATATTATTTTATTGGCCGATGACCTTGGTGTTTTGCGTCTACAACGTCAAACAAACTAGCGATTTAAAAAAAAAAACATGATATTATATAGTGTGTTCCGAAAATAGATAGAAATATTTATAGGAATGATAGCAGACCTCAAGAGCTAAATATACTTAAAAAAAATTAAATAAACAATACTTCGACTGAGACAAAAACGTAAGAAATTTAAGTTTTATGTTTTTTTTTTTTTTAAATTGAGTCACATTTGTTGTTGGATAGAAAGCGATAAATAAACAAATATTTAAATTGAATAATTGAAAGTTAGTAACTAGACTGTAAACTAGACAAAATTTCCTTAACCAAATATAGAGTTTGCCATAGTTAAAACCATTAAAAAACGACTTTTGAGCGACTAATTTATGACAAGTTGTTTTGGAAAAATCGGAAATTATTCGCAATGTTTTTTTTATCAACCTCCAACTACACTACATGTACCTCACTTTTAGAAAAAACTTTCTTGTTTAATAAGTTTTAAATCCACATTATTTAGTTGAGGTGTATGGGGGCAAAACTTGGGATTCATCCCAAGTCTTGTAAAAACATTCTGTGATTTTATATCCTGTAACCTAAAAGTTCCAGTTTTTTATCACAAAAATGACCACAATAATTTGTTACAAAACTTTTATTTCTAATTTTTCCATGATCTGGGGTGTATTTCTATTATCACTTCAGATGATGGATATTGGAATAATCATTATTTAGTAACATACTACTACAAAATACTACTTGTAAAATAAGCAAAATTTGCTTGAGTTCAGGGGATGGTTAGGACATGTCTTGAGGATGGACGAAGCGAGGACAGCGAGAAAGTTTTATCATGGGAAACGAGAGGGAGTTAGGTATAGGAGGAGACCGAAGTCAAGATGGGTAGATAACGTAAAAGAAGATTTGAGAGAAATGGCATATCCATCAGGCAAAGGAAATTGAGCAGGCCAAGAACCACTACATGCCTCTTTTGCGAATGAATGAAAATACGCAAACAGCTAGAAAAGAGCATACAAGTGAACAGTTGACTTGCCAAATTAGACTTCATCAGGGCAGAACAAACAAAATCACATACATCCAGAAAAAAAGAATGAGAAAGAGAGAAAAAGGGGGGAGGAAAATTCGGTATTAACATCTCATCAAACCATTCAAAAACACACTGAAGGAAACAAGAGAGGAAGGTTATAAAAAACGCTGATTAGCTAGAATAAAGGAAAAAACAAGAAATCCTCACATATAAGAAATATTATAATACAAAAATATGTTAGTAAAACTAAATAAAAAATTTCAAAGGTGTATAAAATATATCATAGGAATTGATTCGTATTAATAATTGACGAAATAAGTGTTTCAATTCCTAAAATTTAAAGGCTTTGCCAATGACCCTATAGGGTAGAAACAACAAAACATCAAATAAATAAATATTCCTAAAATTTATTTTGAAAATAAAGAAACCTGCTGATTGCTTCAATTATTTTCACGAAAACGTAGATATTAGGATCAGGAATATTTAATTTGTCACTTGTAAATAAGGGAAAATTCCTCTAAAGGAGATCTGGGTGAAAAACACGGTTTCATAACCACTTTTTACGAAACATATTCGTAAAAAAAATTTTAATAAATAAAAAGAGTATTTAGACCAACTCAAATCATGGAAAGACAAGAAATAAAAGCTTTGCAACAATTTTTTTAGCCATTTTGGCTGAAAAACACGGGTACTTTTAGGTGACATGATATAAAATAACATCATTTTCTTACACAACTTGAGGTGAATCTCAAGTTTTTGAACGAACCTCAATTCAATAAATATGAACTTAGAGCTTATTACACGGGGAGCTAATCTTATTACAACTTTCTTTTAGTCTTAATAAGTCAATGTTCTAGCCCGTCAGGTGGTTTCACATTCATTCCAAACTCGAGTACATATTCATCCCATTATCTCTAAGTAACCACGGTTGACGGCACATAAAATATTAAAGGCATGGATTTATCATTTTTACAAAACTTCAAAATTTTAAATAAACGATGGGAAGGGATATGAGATATTCAGGAAACCGTCATAGCGAAAGACTGAAAAATATATGGGACCACCGTGCGACATGTGTCAAAGACTGACTTTATACTGCGAGCTATTTCTCTTTATATTTCAAAATCCCTGATGTATTCTTCTATGGTATTTTGTTATTTTTTTCTTTTGATATTTTTTAAAACAAATTAATTATTAAAAAAACAAAGTAGCAATATTAGTGTAAAGAAAAGTTTGGTTGGATTCTAGGTTTATTATTTTCAATAATAAACCGTTGTAATCGACGAAAACAAATCAAAAACTTAACTCCCTTCCCTCACAATTTGAGGTTTTACGTTTCAGACAACGTAGAATTCGAAAATAGAATTAAAATGTTTTTGGCCGTCTGTCTTCGACGCGTTTTCTCCGAGACTAGAAGACTGATTTTTTTCAAATTTGGATTTAAAGTCAGAGGTCTGTCGAGGATGATCATTCTACATCAACATTACTATCAGCTTTTCAAGATGGAGGCCGAAAAATCTGTTTTGCTGTAGACTATAGCGCCGAGTATTTACCAATTTCAATTAAAAAAAAAATCAATAAAAAATCGGACAATTTGAAACAAAGATTTTTTATATGTTCTACTGCAGAGAAGAAAAACGCTATTTTTTTTTTTTTTTAGCAAATTACTAATAAGGGAATAAAAAATGTTTAGGCCAATAATAGGAATCACCTTTTCTTTATTACTTTCACTCACGTATATATGTAATATATAGTAAGGGTAAGTATTGCGATCGAGAACATTTTTGAATCTGAGTTTTCAACGGAAATACACGTTCTGGAGTACCCTGAGTCCAAATAACCAGGTCCCGAAAAATGGTCTGTGTGTCTGTGTGTAACACTCTAGCTCGAAAACGAAAAGTCCTAAGAAACTGATATTACGTATTTAAGGTAGGTATATGCCTTAGATGTGACTGCAACGTTTTCAGTCGGCTAACCGGCTAACCTTAAAATCGGCTAACCGGAAGTGCCATTTTATATCAACGCTGAAACACATTTTCACAATTTTCTCAAAAACGGCTTTAATTTTTATTAAACTCGGCGTATCATTGGCGTATCAATATCAAATAGGTCGTATCCTCATTGATGTCACTTTACAGGGCTTAAATGCCCAATGTTCATATACGTCTTCCTCTAAAGTGCCTTTAATATGGTTTATTTTAAGAAGTTATTCATTTAACAATATTCAGAGTTACGAAGAAATTCTAAATATAACTTTTGAAAGAATTTGATGAGTTAATAAAGGAGAAAAAAAATAAAAATGCAGAAAAACCTGCGTTGCTATAGACTGTAGCGCCTAAACGAATGTACCGAATCACCTTCGCTAAAGTCATTTTCTCGACACCCTTTAAATTTATCTATTTGCCATAATTCAACGAAAAGAAGCTGGAAAAAAAGTTACGAGGGATGGTAAAATTAAATTCCGAATAACTAAAAAATTATACCCTTTTTGTGGATATTGTGATGAAATGTTTCAAAGGTATTTAAATTTCCTAAAAAATGAAAGAAGTTTCATCGAAATCAAAACAGCATTAGTAGAGATATCGCGATTTTAAAATATTTTTTGGATTATTTGAAGGTAATGTTATTTAGATTTATAATTGTATGGAAATAATAAATCATTGTGAAATAATTTGCAGCGTTTTTATTTTTTTTTATGAGGGAAGTGTTAAATAGCCTTCAAAGGTCCTAAAGGTGCATTAAATCAATAATATGAAAATAAAGCTTTATTGGTTAGG